CCAGTCCTCCCTCTGACTTAGGTCTGCACAACTTCTCCCAACTTATCTAGTGTATTCTTCATTCCTCGTTTTTCCTTCCCCACCAGAAGCCTGATATTAAACTCTGAATTTCATGAATGACTCCTTGGGGAATTAGGAAAACTGACATGGCGTAGTTTGCTTAGGCTTGTGCAACAGCTTTTACAAGAACTTTCTTGCCTGCTGTAGACAAGCGTTTGGCCTTCCACATCTTAACTTTTTTGCGAACTATGTCTATCAGCTGACTGAACACTGCCTTTTTTGATCACCCAATAACAGTCGGTAATCCGAGATATTTGTCATGATAGTCCACTTGCTTCATACCTAGGATTGCAGCAATCTCATTTCTTCTGTTCTCCGTTTTGTTTGTGCTAAAAGAAAGTTCTGGTTTCTCTAAGCTGACTTGCTGCCCTGATTCCATTTCATATTGCTTAAGGATCCTCTTCAAAGTGACTGCTTCCATGTTTGTATTTTCGAAGAAGAATATACTATCATCTACAAAAAAAAAATGTGTTAGCTTTGGGCCACGAGCACTTATTAGTTATTTTGATGTCATGTAATTCTCCTCGCTCCACTGCTTTCTTGGTAATTGATGATAAACCCTCTGCACAAAGTAAAAATAGGTATGGAGAGATCGAGTCCCCTGTTTGAGACACCTCGTTGATATTATGGTTGGGGATTGATGGCCATTGAAAAGAGCTGAGTAGCTCACTGTAGAAATACACTGCATAATTGAATCCACCCGTCTCCTTGCAAAGCCATGTTTCAACATGATTGCTTCTGAGAATGGCTCCTTGCAAAGCCATGCTTATTATTAATATGTATATCCTATCTCTATATCACGTGGTTCCATGATCCCACGACTTTGATACAAGGAGGATGGAACACTCTATCATATACTTATCTTCATATCCATTCTTGCGTTATAATTAATCAAAAAATTGGTGGGCGGGGATGAGGATTAATTGCATACCTTATCAGTTATCACACGTGGTCATGATTCACGTTTTAACTTTTCATGCCATTCTTTGGTCTAAAATGACAAGCCTATATATAATATATGTTGTCTTGGAATTTGATTCCAAAAGTTATACACGCTAAAAGCATGTCAACCTCTATGTTCTTTTTTATTAATTTGTGTAACTGTGTGTATGTGTAATCATCAAATTTTGAATTTCTAAACCTTTTAAGTTTTGTATTCCAAGCTCACTTTGTCACAATGACACAATCTACTTTGTACGTTACTTTGGCTTGTATTACTTGTTTTAGTTAGGGGGGAACCTTATTAGTTCCTTTTGTCAAAGAAATATAGCCGAGTACAATTGGATGGAGACGCCAAGTAAGCGAGCCAAGATAGGATTCGTTGAAGCTTTCATTTGAGCTTCCTATTCCTATTGAGCTTTCATTCATTCGTTGTTGTATAAATTACACGATTGGCTACTGAATTTACAAATTCTTTTTATATTTGTTACGGTAAACGTTTTACTCCCTTACTAGCTCCTCATTTTATATACTCTTAGCTACTAAATTTATACCTTTTTTTTTTACATTTGTTACGGTAAACGTTTTACTCCCTTACTAGCTCCTCATTTTAAATCTCGTTTCATGGTTAGTCATGTCCGTTCAATTCCGTTAAGTTCACGTGTTGTGTCTGCCACTTTTCATCTTTAAATAAATAATATGGCAATTAAATTTTTGAAACGATAATTATTTTTGAAAATGGGAGAAGTAATTGTTGGAATTTTTTACAAGAATTTCGGTAGAAATCTTGAATCATTTGTTAATATTGGACCGAATTGGGGATCATTTCATCATACTTGCCAAATCGAGCATAAAAATGTAAAACATAGCATTTTCCCAAAACTGCTGGTGATGATGGAATTTTTTCAATTAATATTTTTTTTTTTTATTGTCGCGCCATCTATTTAACCGTCAAAAATTACAGTTGACTGCTAAGTAGATGGACTTAATGGAATTGGATAGACAATGACCAAGCATGAAACAAGATTTTTAGTGAGTGACTAATAAGGAATGAAATTCTTTTCGATGACAAACATGAATTTTTTTATAAACTGAGTGACTAAACGTGTAATTTATTCACTTGTTGCCTTTCCAATTTAGCCTCCTAGGTACCTTTGGACTGTGTAATAATCATACTCCTCTGCTACTCGTAATACTCAAATTCAGTCCAAGGTGCTCTCAAACCACTTCCAGTACTATTCTCGAAGCAGTTCAGCCCAAGGTGACCCCTGAGATGAATTCACTCCTACTTAGATCCTTTGTCAAAGAAGAGATATGAGCTGCTCTCCGAAAAATGGGAACAAATAAGGTTATAGAAGCAGATGGAATGTCAGCTTTATTTTTTTCAAAAAAATTGGGATATAGTGGGTGAGATGATAACCAACAAACTACAGAGTTATTTGGAGACATGTTCTTTCCCTCCTGAACTGAATTATAACCTGATAGACCTTATAACGAAGAAAAAACACCTTGAAACCCATATGAATTTTCACCCGATCAGCTTATGCAAAGTTCTTTACAAAATCCTATCGAAAGTACTGGCTAATAGGTTGAAAGTACTAGACAGAGTGAAGAGTGATCACCTGGTCCATAGGAACATATTCTGAGTGCTCTTATAATATTTGTCCCGTTGTAAGATCTGTAATGAAGCCTTTGTCTTTGTCCCTGTTGTGCGAGATTCCCCAGCTCTAGCATTAGTAGGGGTACCTACTACGCCACCCTCTGACTTAGGAGTCCTTGTAGCTAATTTCTCTAAGCTCCCATTCCCATATACGTTGGCGTACTGTTTGTCTCTTAGCTTCTCCTTTTTTCAGGCTGTCTTGGGTCCTAGGGGGTGGCGTCTTTGTTCCTTCATGCAGGGTCACATTGTTCTCACTAGATTCCATTTCCACTATATCATCAGGAACCAGAGCTTGGTAGGGAGAGCCTTGCGGCTCTGTTCTCTTCACTGCTGCTGCTTTGGGTTCATTTTTCTTGTCTTTTGGCATATTACCTTTGTGGTTGGAGTGGGGCTTTTGCTTTGCTATCATCCATTCCCTGTAAGGACTCTTCAATTCCTTTTCCTTTGGCATCGAACAAGAGCAGCATGATCGTTCAAAGTAGGTGTCGTTGTGTCGCATTTGAGGCAGATCTTTTCAAAACCATCATACTGGATGAAGTACTTGATCTTATTGATTTTGAATTGAGATAACAGTGGTCGGGTGAGGTCGACTTCCACACAGACACGGGCACAATCGAGCTTGCAGCCGTGCTAGTAGCTTGGTCAACCCGAATCGATTTTCCAGTGCGTCTCCCAATCTTCATGACACTTTCGTGAGAAAATATTGTATTGGAATGTCCAAGAGGCGAGCCCACACCAGCGTGGACGAGATATAATGATGGTAGGGATTAAAGTCCATGTCCCATGTGTGAACCGTGAGGTAGTGATCACCCATCATCCATAGCCCCCCATCATATCCCTCTCGTAGTCAAGACCACTTGTAAAACGGACAAGATAGTAACCATTCTTTGCTGAAGCAACCTGAATTCCTCCTGCCTTAGCCCATATCATGTTAAGCCGTCAGAAGATTCCCGTGTAGAACGAGGATGCTCCTAGTACCTTCACAACTAGAGCAGAACACCATTCCCTACAAAATTGGCGCTCCTCGACCGCAATAAAATGGATGGGAGGGGATAACGGGTCATCTTCCTCTTCAATCCCCTCATCCCTCGCGTCCTCCCTGATTGCAGTAGCCACATCCTCAGAGCCGGAGTCCCCGATGTACCAGGTATACGTTCGTAGCACATCACTATAGAGACGGCGCGCAAATCCTGTACCTGAGCACCATGTAGAGGGTTTAGAGCTCATCGACCTTGGCCACCTTTCCTCCGTTTGTGGAGCATCCTCCACGATCTTGTTCGTCTCTGTTACAGCGAAGGTACTATGCATGGTAGGTTTTGCTCTCTTTTAGTTTTGTTCTGCTTCGCGATACCCCCTTTGGATCCGGGGACTATGATGCAGCTGGAGGACAACGTTGTCCTGCAATGGTTTAAGACGAGCTGGGAGTAACAAGGCCCCCTGCCAGCGGAGGGTTCACCGCCGACATGCTGAGACGGAAGAAACTCTAGCAGTCGATGTTTATGGCATACGTGAAAACCTAAAAACTCGGAGTGTTTGATGTTCGTCACTCCAACTTTAGATTCAACCGTTTCTAGAAGTCTGAATTTGAATATCTAAACCTATCAATTACCATTCCATCAACTCGGACATGTAAAAATCAAATATCAATTTCACTTGTAATCATTTTTTATTTTATAAAGAGCCTGTATTATTTCATTAATTCGAAATATTACTGGAATAAAAAAGGAGTTGTCTAACTAGAAAGATAGGGGATCTAGAAGCCCATACTTTATTTTCCTCCCACCACAACGGGTATGAGCCAGAATATGTGCAGTATGATCACTCTACCTGCTCGGGAATGTACCGAGAAAGAACTCGAGAGCTGCAGCACGTACTTCAGCTCCTCACATGCGAGTCCTTCCTCCATCATCATCATTTCCTCGCCTCTCAGCTGCTGGACAACCCACAGGCAATCCGTCTCCACTTCCCTTCCTTCAAAACCATGCTCCACTGCTAAATTCAACCTCAAATCGAATAGCAAAAGTCTCGGCTAATGTGAATCAAATATTAGTTAATATTGTTTACTCTATTTTAAGCAGTTTGAGAATTGAAACCTACAACAATTAGATTAGATGCTTGAAAGATTCTTACTTCCCTAATAAGTAAAACCCAAAAAAAAGGTAAAAACAAGAAAAGTAATTAAGGACCGAAATATCAAAATGAAACAATTTTGGAGGTGACTTGTACATCAATTTCAATCCCAAACTAGGTCCCAAAGAGTAAAAATCCACTGATGAATCATTCATTCATGCAAGCAATCTCGAACAAACAAGAATACAAGATCGAAGATTCCCATTTGTCCCGCGAAATCCGCCCTTTTCAGTTTTCCTCCCTCTGTCACTCTCTCTCATCTCTCTCTCTCCCTTATTACTTTCTTCTCCCCACTTCACCGCCTTCACACGCTACTCGCCTTGGCCTCTCAGCTTTTGGCCATTTCATTGATAATTTGATATATACTTTTTAACGCCACAGTGGCGCTTTGTGGACGAGACGCCTATAAAATCCTTTGTGAAATTCGTGGACTAGTTTGTTCCCTTTATCTCTCTCTAATCTCTCGTGCACACTCTTTTTCCTTCCTCCTCCTTCTGTCTTCCAGAGACCCCCACCGTCTCTTCCCTTTCTGATTCTCTGATCCCGATCATGGAGGATGGCAATGGTAAACGTTCCCTACTTTCGCGATCTGCTTCTTTGTACCGCTTCTGATGATTTTGGAAATTATTGGGGAGTTCTGATTGTGGTCGGTCAATGGATTTATGGCGGAATTTGGGTTTCTAATGCTGCTTTTAATAGTGGGTTATTTGAGGTTTTGTTCGTTTTGGCTTGGATATTGATGGCGGATTGCGATTCTTAAGCTGTTTGTATGCCTTGCGTGTTTTCTGGGTTAATGGAGTTCTGGGTTGAAGTATGATCTGTTCTTGAGTGGGTGTTCATGATTCTATGAGATTAGGAACTAATGGCCTTCTCATTTTGGGAGACTTGTATGGAAGTGTGGACAGATCCTGAATAGCTACTTTGGTTTCGGTCGGAGTCCTAACAGATCCATTTCTATTTTAGGCTTGTGATTACTTGAATCTATGCTTTTCATCGTGGAATTCTGAGCTGAATCAGGTCGTGATGGCGATCATCATCCATCGTTTTTATAATTTGGAAGAAACACAGCTCTCTTTGACAATTTTTAGGTTGAATTGCTCACCGGAGCTATGAATCGTGGAATTCTTCGATTCTGGGACTTCATTAGTTCTTACACTGAAACGCTTAGTACAGTAGTACTTAGTCTGATTTTTTCAATCATACATGGAACAACCAGGAAGTAGATTTAGTGTTTACAAAGGACAGATGCTGAGTGTTTATACCTTTTCAATCTTGCTTTGCTAGGATCTTTCTTGTATCTCATGTTAAGTTTGAGCTACTGAGCATCTCTTGATGCGAAGTCATCAGAATCTGCTCTTCAAGTTCAAGGATGAACACAAACACTTATCGTTTTTAATTTCTGTGATTGGAAAAACAGTGCTGCCTACTCAAGATGGGGCTATCTCAGTAGCTTCTGCATTTGCTGGTCATCAAGAAGGTAATTTTGCAGTGGCTTTTCTGTTTCGTGTTGAACTGCTCTGCAGCTTTCACAGGGAAGTCAATATAAGAAAGCAATGGCTAACAAAGAAAGATCATTTCTTTGTTGCTAAGAGGAGCCTGAATTGATGGACTCATTCCTTTGACTGCTGAATGTCCAGTTGGGGAGGTTCTAATGAGTGTATCCTTTTCGGCTTATTTCTCTGAACAGCTGTGCAGGACAGAGACCACAAGTTCTTGACTCGAGCTGTTGAAGAAGCATACAAAGGTGTTGATTGTGGGGATGGAGGCCCGTTTGGGGCAGTTGTTGTTTGCAATGACGAAGTAGTCGTGAGCTGTCACAACATGGTTCTCAAACACACCGACCCAACTGCTCATGCCGAGGTCACAGCTGTTAGGGAGGTAATTGAGACCCCATTCAACTCCATTTCGAAGCCATTCAATTCTTGTCGAATGAAGCTCGATCAACTGACTTTTTTTTAATGTTTTTACAGGCTTGTAAAAAGCTCAACCGAATCGAACTGTCAGATTGTGAAATCTATGCATCCTGCGAGCCGTGCCCAATGTGCTTCGGTGCCATCCATCTCTCCAGAATCAAGGTACGTTTGGGAAAGCAAAACTCTTATCTTCAGCATTGCCATTGTATTAACTGGAATCTTATGGCCGGTTCTTTTCTTTTACCTTGTGTATTTGCAAATGGCAGAGGTTGGTCTACGGGGCGAAAGCTGAAGCAGCAATAGCAATAGGGTTTGACGATTTCATTGCCGATGCTTTAAGAGGTACAGGTTTTTACCAGAAGGCTAATTTGGAGATCAAGCAGGCCGATGGGAATGGAGCTGTTATTGCAGAACAAGTGTTTGAAAGGACCAAAGCCAAGTTTACCATGTATTGATTGTTGGTAATGATAGTTTTTTTAACTTTCTTTTTCTTACTGCAATCAGCTGGACTGAGGGTTGAATTTGGGTGCTTCAAAGTGCAGAAAACTGTTGACTACTTTTGTTTTTTTTCCCCCCAATCTGATTACCTGTTCAAGTGACAATGTAATTGATTGGAACCCTTCAATTGTATTGATCTCTAAACCTAATGTGTAGAGCAAAGAAAAAGATCAGATTTTTCATTTGAAAGTACTCTTGTGTTGTTCATGTAGCAAGCAGAAGATTTCCGTTGCTCACATTAGTTTGTCGTGTGTTCATAGAGTCGGATGTTCAACCCGACTTTCAATTTTTGCCTATGAAATTGTTATATAGATAATTGTCGGAGCAAATCAAGTTGAATGTATCGTTATTGAAGTAGTCCTGAATCCGATGTTCGTCACGGTATATTCACACAAGTTAAACTTAGGAGACACATGCTAAACTTAGGAGACACATGCTAAAAACTTTAGAGCACTGATAAGATGTGCACTCGATACTTGCAACCCATGGTAAAATGTGAATAGCCTGAAAGGAGATGGATTTGAGTTAACACTGATGAATCGGCTACCACAAACATAACGAGCTCAGGCATAGTAGGATCTCCTTTGGGGAGGAAGACGATCTGATTCGTTTGGTCATTGACGAACTTGAGAGGATTGATCTGTGCTAACTTAGATGAATCTGGTACAATAAACATACGAAGCTCGAACATATGTAGGATGTCTTGAGGAAGAACACTAGCCAATTCATTCGGTCATTGACAAAGAACTTGATGAGGAAGTTCTATCATACTTGTGGTGCTTGGTTAAATATTTCTGTTTTAGGTGGGAAACTGAGTGGATGGGTTGCGCCTGATTTATATGAAGAAGACGATTGTTACTACGGTTCGTACCTCTTCAAACATTGTTCGAACGAGTGTGTTTGGTGTATGAGGAATCTACTCCTATGAAAATTCTTTAAGAGCGTCGCGACTACAATTAAAACTACTGCTATGGAGGATCCTTCATGGAGGAGAGCTCCGCAAACTGCAGAGAAAAAGGAAAAGGGACAGTTGAGACAAGTTGTCTTTGTGTTGGATTGTGTTTGTATGTCTGCTCCAAAAGGTTGCTTCTAGTTTTGTTGCTTAGAGTCCTCCAATTGTTCTCTCTTCTCTCCTCCCGAAAAGTAGCTTCGTTTAGCCTCTATGTGAATCAGTTGTGGCCAAGAAGTCTCTGGACATGTCACCATGTTATCCTATTTCAACATGAATAGTATCATCCAGCTAGTACTTTGGATGATATCCATGATATGTGATAGTCATCCTCCAATTAGTCATTTGGATGGTGTCCATGATATTTGGGATGGTACCATCCACCATACGGTTGTGATGGTATCTATGATGTGAGATGGTCACCATCCACTTAGAGATTGGACGATGTCCACAATGTGGGATAATATCATTCATTTAGAGGTTGGATGATATCCATAATATAAAATGGTCATCATCCACTAAGAGGTTGGATGGTGTCCAGTGTCCATTATATGGGATGGTACCATCCATTTAGAAGTTAAATGGTATCCATAATGTAGGATGGTCACCATTATGTGGGATGCTACCATCCACGTTGAGGTTGGATGGTTACCCTAAAACTGGACACATGGTGACCAAGTACTGGATGACCACCCAAGTATTATTTCAATGGGGAAAATGTTTTTGGTGTAAACAAATGCCCCTCACAACTTAATTCGTAAGAGATTATGGTGATGGGGAACGAGTAGATATTGGTGCGGATGGTTTAATTCCAAAAGTGGATCAGGGTGCCTCTCCTTTCCTTGCATCAGCTCCGATAGGTGGGACTGAGAAGGTTGTTGCGCTCATAAATCCGGACGAGGGTACTTGGTGTCAAGACTGTTTGAATGCTTGCTTCCATCTTGATTGGGTGCTGGTAATTTCGGCTATTCATTTGCCTCGTTTGGCAATTGCATATAGGCTAGTGTGGCAGTATAACCCGTCGGGTATTTACCTTGTCAAGTCAGGATACTACCTGGCGTTTGGACGGATTCATACTTTGGGACAGTGGAAAGAATAGACTAGTTGGATGGATCGTAAGCTTTGTCAGGATATCTGGAAGCTAAAGATTCAACCTAAGCTGCGATTTTTTCTTTGGCAGATTAGGAGTCGCATTTTGCCTACGACGGAGGCTTTACTGGAGAAGGAGGTGGAAGTGTTGGGTCGTTGTCTGGTTTGCTGGGCGAAATTGGAAACAATGGAGCACATCTTCCTTCATTGTCCAGTGGCCCAGTCCTTATGGGCAACGACTGGTCTTCAAGATCTGGTTGCCGAAGTGGATACATCTGATCTTGCCATTTTTTGCGCTGGGTTCTGGAGCGTATATCCTAGCCGGAGGCGAGCATCAGGTTGGTGCTATGGCGGATTTGGAAGGCCTGGAATTAGGTGGTGTTTGATTTCAAACAAGTTAATCTACAGGTGCTACAGTGGCAAATGCAACACCAGATTCTGGAGTGGCTTGGTACTCTCCCGCAGGCTGTTCCTAGGAGGATGGCTCGTCAGGGGGACAGGTGGTGGAGCCGCAGTTAGGTGCAGTGACGGGTATTATCTATGCTTTTGATGGTGCCTTGCGTCGGGAGTCCCATGTGGCTTATGGATTGGTCATACGGAATAAGACGGGTGCATCAGTGATGGTTAAGCCTGGGCGCTTGGAAGGGGTTTACGAACCGGAGATGGTGGAGTTGATATCTCTTCATGAAGCATATCATTGGTGTGTTGCGAAGGGCCTCAGTTTGGTGCAGATACAGGGGAACGCTAAAGAGATTATTAACAAGGTCAATGCGCGGTGCATGACTAATGCTCGAGGTGGAGCCCTTTATCGAGAGGTCCAGGCATGCTCTCATACATGAGTATCCGGGGGTGATAGTGCAGTTCGTTGGAAGACAAAACAGTAGGGTTGCCCATGTGGTGGCAAGAAAAGCTCTTGTATTGTCTACTAGTGATGTGTGCTATGTTTTGATTTTTGCGCTTGGCTCCGGATGAAGTTGTAAACGTTTGATCTATTTTATTGGTAATGCAAGTTATCTTTGATTAAAAAAAATCCTCATTTCAATTTTCTTATAGAAAATATCACCAAGTATCTTGGGCCTTGGCCCATTCACTAATAACGAAGGCTCTGGGTTCTGTGTCTCAGCAAGTAGCTCATCTTCGCCGCCGCCTTTCACTCTTTCCGTTTGTCGCTCCCTCTTCTTCTTCTTCACCGGTTTTAACTTCCGGCCAACTCTTTGCTCCCAAGCAGCTCAACTTCCTCTGGCATACTTTCCTTGGTTTAATTCTTTTGACAAAAACTGGTGCTTTGATTTCAACGACCCGGGTCCTGCCTCTCTCTGTTCTTCCATAGGTAAAAGCTCTCACCTTTCTTCGGCATTTTCAGTTGTTTTCCCAACATGGTTGTGGTCATTTTGTATGAACTTTACATACAGAATGTTTATGGGAGAGCAGCGGTTAATTAGAGCAGTTGGTGGTGTTTGCCTATTGCACTGAAAGCTGGTTTCTTTATATACAATTTCTTGAACATAGATAGCTAGAGTTGTAATGGAATAAGCTCGGAACTTCATCGTTTCTCTGAATCTTTTTTTCATTTTTACCCCAGGTGGGAGCATGTATTTGCAGTAGTTGCTCTCTGGTTCCTTCATTGGCAATGTGGAGATCACCGGCGATGGCTTGTATTGTGAGTCCTTCCTCTTACCTCCTGTTATTGTTGTACAATTCAAAGTGCCATAGGCAAAATCCATGTTGTCTTACTCATGAAGGTTCACAGGTTAGAAGGTTAACTCGGGTTCGACTGGGAGTACAAACCCTTAGTTCTAGCTATGGTTCCATGCCGCAGGCTCAATTCTCTGATAGGGAAGATGCAAAAGATCAGTCTTCTTCAGAGGTATCATAGTGAATTGAAAGTCATTCTCACTTTTTTATATGGATAATTTTGTTGATTCTCATTCATTCCATTTGGATTTATTTGGCGCCTGATTGAAATTCATGTGTGTTTGAAAGTCTGTTGGATGCCATGAGGCAGGCAAATCATTTTGGTTTAAGGAATGTGAAGATAGTTATTGTCATTTTCTATTTCAGTCTTGTTGAATGAGAAGAATTCCATAACAAAACCCTTCTTGAACTTTTCTCGATTGATCCTTTACTTATGGTTATACCTATATGTTGCCGTCCTGTTTGACCACCTTCTCACAACGTTGCAGGCACGATTCAGTCATCAAGCTGCATTCCAAAATTTGGACCAAAATGCTGCAAGTGTGCAGAAGGATAAAATAGGGAAGAATATTTCTAGAAAGGAGAAGACTGGCTTTCTTATTAACACAGTAAGCATTTGAAGATTTTTGCCAAGCTTCCTTTTTTTTTTTATTACGCTTGCCTAGATTTTGAACCAAAAGATATTGTCTAGATGAAGATTATGCTTCCTTGCATCTTTCGACTATGAAAATACCATAGTTGAAAAATGGCTGAATTCAATAACCCAACGTATCTAGTATTCTGATGATATAGGCTTCCGTGCTGTAAGTTAGTTGAGCAGCTGGCTTACCACACCTATAATGCACTTCCCAGTTTCAAGATAATCAATTTGCTTCACCATCGGGTATCTTAGGTTAGAAGGAAAACAAAATTTAAGCCTTGTGAGCTTTTGAACCTTTTCTATTTGCGTAGCATCATTATCCAGTGTCATAGTGCCAGTAGTAGTAGCAGCCATATGAATAAAATGGAAAGAACATTGAAGTTAGTACAACATCAGTAGCAGTACAGCCTAATATGTAGATAAGACATTAGCTACGTTCACCATAATCCAAAGAAGCTAGCTTCTTGCGGTATATGTTGCTTCAAACATCTAATTTGAGGTCACTGCACTTCATCCTTTTTAACCATTTTTCTTCATTGGTATGTTGATGTTAACTTTATGGGCAAGTTAAGGAATCTCTCATATCTGCAGCTCATGGATCTCAAGGATAACAAAGAAGGTATTTATGGTGCTCTGGATGCTTGGGTTGCATGGGAACGGGAATTTCCCATTGGTCCTCTTAAGCATGCTTTGCTGGCTCTTGAGAAGGAACATCAATGGCATCGGATTGTTCAGGTGCAAACCATTCTTCTTTCTGCTACGGAATCAAATCACATGCTAAATCATTTCTAGAACAGCCCTTGCATGTATATTATTTATGCGTCTTCCCTAATCATCCCGACTCTTTTAAGTTTTACATTTCTTGAGTTTGTTATGTGTAGGTTAAGCTTTAGAAATAAAATAATTCGAATCATTCTGATAATGCTCAATTTGTTGGACTTGTTTCATGCATTCCCTCATTCCATGTTAACTTTTATCTAGGTGATTAAATGGATTTTGAGCAAGGGTCAGGGAAACACAATGGGTACGTACGGGCAACTGATACGTGCATTGGATAAAGACCACCGAGCGGAGGAAGCACATTCTGTTTGGGTGAAGAAAGTTGGTACAGATCTTCATTCCGTGCCTTGGAAGTTATGTAGCATGATGATATCAGTATACTACAGAAACAACATGCTAGATAGGCTTGTTAAGGTATGCTGCTAGTTTTCGTTTTCGTTGATGAAGTATGGGCCTGTTTTAGCTACTACATTTCATATTTCTCCTTAGATTCACTGCTTGGAATCAACTCCATTCAAGACTAATATGATTGTGCATCTTAAAGCTTTTCAAGGGCATGGAAGCATTTGACAGGAAACTCTATGACAAGGTTATAGTCCAGAGAGTAGCCAATGCGCATGAGATGCTAGGGATGCCAGAAGAAAAAGAACGAGTACTCCAAAAGTACGCTGATGTTTTTGCCGAGACCGAGAAGAATCAACGATTTAAGAAGAGATCCAAACAGTCTCCTACAAAGGAAAAGCAATAGGGTGAAATTATTTTTGCTTGATACACTTTTGATGCAATCCAATGAATGATTCACAGGGGAAGCTTACAGTAGTTTGTTCGTGTTCATGATAGTGATAACAGTATTTGTGATTGTCGGGCATAAACATGGACAGTAACAAGTTCAATAGAACCAGAGTTCCAACCAGAAAATTGTTACTGTCAAGTACTTCGATTGCGCTATATCTTCAAATATAACATGTTCAAAAACTGACAGCCCTCAGTTTTCAACAAGCTGTGCTTCCAAGAAACGTTCAACCAAAATCAGTAATCTGTATACTTTGGTAACGATGAAAAAATATATCGAAAATCCGAAACATTTAAAAGTACATCCTCCAGTCTTTAGTTTTACATTTGCAAAATAGGTGTATCTAACTTTCCAGGGGCGGATATCCTAGTCAAAGGAAGACGGTTTGGCTATCTGTAGTTCTTAGAATGCTAAATAAGTGTATCTAGGAACGCAAAAAAGGTAAAGCAAGAAATCATGTGAAATGGAACTTCTTGGGTATTGGAGAAGGAGCTCTTTTGCTGCAATCTTATTACTCTACCAGACGTATTCTTCACTGCCGCTGCTGCTGCTGTAAATATATCTAGCTAGAATAATGGAAAGATTCCAACCCCAGTAAACTCACAACGGTCCGTAAATGCCCCAAAAAAAAAAAGCTCAAGCTAGCCGGCACACCACGAACAAAAAAACCAGGCAGAGCCTAGGTTTTAGGAAGACATTTTCATTTGGATCTGCCGATGGATATGCACCAGGAACTCCACGTACGAGAGACCACCAGTCGGTACTTTGTCCTCGATCAGGTACCAAAAGAATGCCATTCCTACAAGGGCCGCAAAAAGAAGGACAAGGAAGTTTTAGCTAAATAATCAATGAGGGACCAAAAACATGGACTGAGGAGACCAGAGTGGGTGCTTAAGTTCAGTAACTCACCTGATTGATCTCCCTTTCTGCAGAGCCTCAACCTGCAAGAGCATCACCGGCATAATTATTACTAACAGAAAGCAAGTGATAAACTCGTTAAAGAAAGATGGGGTTAACAAGAAATACCTGAGGAAAGAACATCTCTGTCGGCGTATCTCATTTACCACCTCGTTTAACTTCTTTGACAATGGATTGTCATATTGCTGCAAGGTGAACTCGGCACCCCCCTGTTCGGTCCAAGAAAAGAGTCATGTAACCATTAACTAAGCAATCACATCAGTTTGAAGACACATATATCAGAGGTAAAGAATTCAGGGTGTGCAATAATTCGATCCGCACTGGACAGAACCGGCGCTTGGATGGAATTGGACACGAGAACTACAATTTGATTCTGTATTGACTCTCAAATTCAAGACACACTCATTTCAATACTATGGAGGATCCTGATAAACCAGAAAAAAGGTGAATTGAACCCAAACCAGACTGGACTGAAATGGGCGGAATGCACTTTGGACTGAAGCTCTAACTCCAGACAAAAATGACTGAATGGAAATTAAAATAACCTGATCAGCTGAGGGAACACCAAGCAATTGCTGCATAATGTCAGGGTTGACCGAGTTCCCGGCATATATTAAGCAATCTTGCCCATTCTCCAGTAGATAAATTCCTTCATCGTTGACATGTTCACTAGATAGCGGAAGTGGAGCAGGGACAATAGAACCATTCCCATCCTGTCAACATCAAAAGAGGCGTTAGATTTTGAAATTTAAACAGATTTTTTACAAGGGAACCAAGGGTGGATAAAGACATAACATGCCTGTGTATCAAGGTCATGAACAGCAATCATCCTTGGGTAAACCAGTGGAATTGCTGAAGGAGTAGAAACTGAGGATACATAATTGATCCAGAAAGAGCGATCATCTATCTTCCCGTCGATTCTCAGACCAGCACTCTTGATTAAGGCTGTGTGAAGGAGCAGCAAATGTATTCTAAGAAAACAACACACGTAGAAACAAGCAAAATATATGTGCTCTACGTAACTAACAATTACAGAAAGGTTCAGAAAAGTGAAGTATCTTCTCTTATTCATTCCATTTTTTTTTTTTATGAATACTATTTTCCCTTTGATGAATGATCCAAATTTATTTGGTCGACTTCTTAAGATGCATTCATAGCTGCTATGGGCAGGGGTTACATTGGTTTCGGACTTGGTTAACCAACGCCAAAAAACAATCTTTTGGTTTTGGTTTTCGTCGACCAAAATTTCAACCGAACATTATATAAGATACTTTAGTGAAAGCAAAAAACTAACCAAATTATGTAAAAGAGTGGTTAAAAATAAGAATAGACAATTAACAAAGATTTTTCATGGGCGGAACGAGTCGAGTAATTTTATTATGTTTCAACAAAATAATTTAGCAACTTCTAGTAAATTCAATCAATGGGTGAAAGGCCCTACCAGCTTCGACAAATTTTATTATATTTCTTTTTTGATTAACCAAGGAACCATTTTTCCACCCCTGGAACTAGGTACAAATGTCAAGTACAATGGACACGTGTGGTATTGACACATTAATGAGACATGAAACAAAGAGAAAAGTACCAAGAGTATATAGAGGCAGCAGTTTGAGTGCTTCTGGAAGAATAAGTTGCCCTGAAGATGACACTGTCGCACAAAATTTCCGATATGAAAGTAGAATGTTTATACAGAAGTTCGTAACTTGTTCACGGACGTGCAATGGTGGGGTGATGGGAATTTCACGTGCAGCTGCCAAAACAAGGTAAAGAGTAAGATCAACTTAGCACAGCAATTGAGACAGTTACTATAGAAGCAAAGATGCAGTACAATTATAATTTCAGATCACCAACAAAATCAACACCTTTAAACAAGCTAATTCCCGATGAGAATGAGATGGCCAACAGGAGATCTGAAAGCAATAAAAGAATGATAACTGTGGTATGCTTAAAATACCTTGCTTCAGGAAACATACAAATTGAGTATCCAAGTCAGCCATTCGGAACAAGTTGCTCAAGTTGCTTGTGCATGGCAAGGATAGTGTAGTAACACGAATTCTTCTTTCGCCATAAACAGTAGTGTATAGGAGTGCACACTGCATCACGAATTAATAAAATGCACCTCAATGATGTCAAAACCAAAAACTCTGACAATTTGGGTCAGATGATTAAGTCAGTAGATTAATATTAAGGCATTCCACATAAACCACTGATTATTTGAACAGAGCAGTTTCAGGCTTACTGTAGTGGCCATAAGAATATATACTTCTAATGAAGAAAGAAGCTTAGATGAAGTGAAAGTATAATGCACGAGAGATATGGAAGAAATGGATTTCGAGAAGATGAAGAGATGAGCACACCTGGAAAGCACATTCTGCACCATCTTGCAACTTATCATCATGTTTTAAAGTCACCATTATAGCTTTATCACAATCAATCTGCAAAAGACAGAAATTACTTATGGGTTAGAAAAGTCGGGAAGAACCCAAACAAATATATATACATCCATTAGAAAGTACAACAGAGAATGTAAAGCACATTCCCCATCATATCACTATAAAGTTCTTTCCTGGAAGTCTAAACACCCTTGTTACAGACATCAGAAAACAGGAAACCAGAATTTTAGATATTATCCCACTAGGACATCAAGGAACCTAATCGTCATATTCCTTGTTTTAAGATGACACCTAATGTACTTTAGGTCCAACAAAGAGCTAAGAAGCACATAATCTACATAAAATGCAACTATATACCATTGAAATTTAGGTCCAACAAACATCTACAATGCAGAAGTTGAATTTCAGTATGTAACACAGCATCTCATGGAAAGCTATTCTTACCCCAGGTAAGTCAACGTCAGTCGGAATTCGCTTGCAGAAGTTTCCATGGTATTCTTGTACTTGAATTCCCTATAACAAAAATACCAAGAAAAAAAAAACGGCCCATTACCATAATGCTAAGTTTGGATAACAACAGTGAATTGATTCCAAATATCCCTTTTCAAAGAAGTACCTGGCTGCACCTCACTCGCATAACTGCCTCAAATCCCTGAGGCCTTGAGACGTTCCATCTAAGATCATTACAAAGCTTTACGGAATCGGAAACTACTGAAAATGGATGATAATAATAAACCTGAAAGAAAGAAGTTATGACTTAAACCTTGATATAATATGGCTAATTAGCAAGAAATCTAAATCCGCACAGGGTCCACGTTCCAAAATGTTTGGCGAAGGAGTGGTATAAGGTTAGGTGATCTAAAGAAAATGAATGAAACCAAGACTTTCTAACTTTGTCATCCAACTAAAGTAAGTGAAAAAGATGCATTCTAGGTGACATCAAATATGTAATGGACAACCTTCTCCTAACCATGCCAAAAAGTGCATAAGGAAAGATAGCTTCCTAAAGGATAATAATTTTAACAAAAAGCCATCAGTTTAGTGTTTTGAGTATGATAGCTATCAACAATAAAGCACTGACATTAAAACGAAATCCAAACTGTTAATTGCAAGCAGCAATAGTATCCTGAAAGTACCTGCCCTCCAGTAACTTTAGGGATGACAGATATAGAAGCAATGTCCACGTATGTCTTGGTGGTGATGAATACATCAACACAAACCTGAAGAAATCAGGAAAAGAAAAAAGCAAAAGAGGGAACTTAATAAGCAAGCTCTGGTGATGACATAGTCCTGTAAACTATAGAAATCTTGATTTTTCCATTTAGATAGACGGCAAAACAATAGGAAACCTGATATTCTGCAAATTCAACTGCCATGTCCTTCAGAGTTTTGTCAGCAGGCTGAAGTAATTTATGAGCCTCCTGCCCAAGAAGATGCAAAGTAGACATAAGCTAATCAGAATGGTAGCAGGCAGGCCTCCAATAACTACCAAACTGAGGTGACAGCATGGGACGAATAACAATTAGTTGCTTTTACTATAATGTTTACAAAGCGTTCTTGAGCTGCACACCTAGAGGCTGAACCTAGCACGATTGCACCCTAGTCTAAGTGAGCAGGACTTTCGATAACTATGGTAAAATTTATAGGTTAAGCAACCCAATATCCACCAGGACACAAAAACTTTCCTATATAGAACACTTCTCCATGCAATGCTGCCCAGGAATAAATAAAGGTCACAACAATACAGAGTTCAACTGATGGATTTTAGATACAATTGACTACATTCTCAAACAGGGACAAAAGGTAGTCGATAATTTTGCTCAACAAAATCCTTGAATAACATGAAGGCCCTTTACTGATCTCGAAACGAGTTTACAAGGTTGCACTTACGTACATTAGATGCATCATCTCCTTAACTACTGCAACATGTCTAGCAGTAAAGCAAGGCAAGGAAAGGTTGAATCATTACCTTGTCCCCAGCAGAGACATTGCTTCTTCCCTCAGCCTCTCTTGCAGCAAGTGCTCCAAGGCCGATGGATGGCAAAACTGATGACATAATAAATTGATCAGGGAAGGCATTGTCAAAGTTAATAGGAACACATGACAACTAGAAAGCATTTAATATTCACAAAGGGTAGACCATGACAGCAACAAATATAAATGTGCCCTTTACGATGGTGAAAAAATAGGTTTAGGATACTTGCCTGATTGAAATACCATAAGCTTTCCTCCAGTACTCTTCATTGCTAAGAAAGCTGCCTGAATGAAAAGTACATAATGTTTTAGGAGACAGCTGATTATAAGAGGATGTCATTTCAAAGTCTAACGACCGCATACGTAATATCAAGTTATCAACAAAACCAATCAAACAACACATGCTTGCCAGCCTTGCCAGCTATTCATTCTTGAAATTCTATCATCAGTATGTTCCCAACTGCAATCACTAGTTGCTATAATTACCATTTTAGCAAACACAAACTAAACGCCAAAATTTTAACATTCTCAGGATGGTTACTTTACACATGCATGCCAAAATTACAACCATGTAATTTCTAACCAACACGAGTACGTTAAACATTCATTTAACATAATGAACTCAAGATGAGAATATTTTCTCAGGCACAATGAATACACATGATATATTAGTTATAAACTAAATGATGTACCTTGATTGCTGCACCAAAAGCTGACTCAGATGTTCTAGTATTCTCAAACATGGTTGGAATACTTTCCAATAACAGTTCCAAATGTTGACGGCACTAAATCCAAGAGAAAGATGAGAGAGATTAATTAAAATTGATAATACACCATATACAGCTACAAGTAGTAATATGTAATTCCTAAAGATTTCCTGTAAACAAGGTTTAGGCCGATTATGCTATAAGGCCAAATGATCTGCAACTTACCTCAGAGACTGAGACAATGACATCAGTTTGCAAAGGGGTATACACATCTTGTACATCAGGAACGATCAGCATTAGAGGCTACAGAAAATTGAGAGGGATCAGATCAGTATCAATATACCTCCCAAAACATGTAGTGTACTAAAATTGTTGAAAGTTGAGCCAGATGCAAAAGCTTCCCCAATCAAAATGCACGAGCAACTCACACGAGTCAGATGGAGTGAAAAATGTAAATAATTAGCAACAAGAGACAGGGGATCTAGAAGTTCGAATGATAGGTCAGTTCTCAAGCAGAGAGCAACCATATCTTAAGAGACCAATCAGCATTCAGTAATCCCCGGTACATCCTCGAAGATACAACATTTAACCAACATAAAACCTCAAAGGCTGAGAAATTGGATATTGATTCACCTGCTGTAACGCACGTTTCAAGTTGTAGAAGTGGATGGTTGAATCAAAAGTTGCAATCCCAACCATTGTCCTTGGCCCTTCCTGAAAGAGGAAGTCATTCAGTAAGTAAAATAGCATCTCAGAAAATCTGTGCATGCTGAGAGATCAACTAAGTGTTTCTCAGACCAGAAAATCAGCATCAGAATATAAGTGAGTATGGATTTACAGTAAGCATTCAGACAAGCATCCTGTATGAGAGACAGAGTAAGATGGCACCACCAAATCCTGCAAATGGATACAGTACTCACCGGAAGATCACCAATAACTTGGTTAATTGAGCTGCAAGCTGCAGCAGTTGCACCAGTTTGAACGGCATTCATGGACACATCAATAAGGAAGAAATAAACAGCTGGCATTGGTTCACGCACCTGAAACAATAGTAAACAGAGCCATCAATCATGCATACAAGAACCAGTGAAAAAGAAAAATAGACCATACAAGTGAATTCTTCAACATACAAGCTCTAAATAAAAGGGAAACCAAGAACAAAAATAAGTAAAGATTCCGCAAAGAAAGAATGAGACCATATATTCCTTTGTCGCAACAAATTCAACTGTCCCCCTACACAATTCAGGCCTTTCATCAGCATCTCTACGCCTACCATCAGGACCTAAATTGCAATGATAGTCCCGAGGTGTTTCATCAGTGAAACCTGCCATGAAACAGGGAATTTCAGAGCAAGGCACAGCTTGTCAGTAAAATAAAATGTGCCATGTCAATGAATAGAGGAACACTTTCAAGATCAACTTTATTCCTATGAATCATTATTCCACTAAGATATACAAAAAAAAAAGTAAACAAAACAATAGTTTGCCCCACAAGTAAAAGACATAACAACTGGCATAACGCCACTAAAACAGAAGCAAACCTATGAAAGCAGGAGGTCACAAAGTGGTAAGGCACACGCCAGACACCCAAAAGGGTCAATAAGAAAGGAAGATGGAATGTGAAGGATGTCCAAATAACTTTTCCTCTATCTAATCATTAGCAGGAACGTTGCTGAAAACATCCAGAAAATCCATATGCTGAAGTAAGAAAAGAGGATTATATGCATACTGACCGCACAAATTACAGATGAAACGCCTCCCCTGGTCAATGAACTTCATGAAAGGATTTATATAGCCTTTGCAACGAGAACAACGAACAGGGCCACCTTCTCCAAAATCAACAATCTATAACCAGGAAATGTGAATAAATGCAACTTTAGTTGGGTCACTGGCTTGCAACCGGAAGTATTTATTTGGGGGGGGGGGGGGGGGGGGGGGGGGAAGCAAACAGTAAATCAACACAACAGCAACTCCCTTTCAGAAATGAAACCGCATCAAAGGTGGATAATAGAAGTCAAAGTTGAAGGTCATATGCACTCATCAAAATGGGGAGACAAGTATATCCCCACCATCTTTGATCTTTCAAACATCTTAAGCAAAAATACCAGAGGGTACTGCATATTAATCATTTCAGTTTGATCTGGAGACTCAGTTAAAATGGCATCACATGTTCATCCTCGCTTCGGAGCAAGGATCTCTATTGCACTGAGAAATAAACCTAACAAACTTCCCCTGTTTCAGGACAGAAGAAAATTTCCGTCCCAGAGGCATCCACAGGAAGAATACAAGCATTACCTGGATAGGCTCCTCAGATGGATGGGGAAGGGCTAAAGGTTGGACCAATAAAGCCAGCTGCATTCCAGATGTCGTCAAAAGATCAGCAGTGCACGGAATCTGCATATTTAAAGTCGTAGATCACGTAAGTGCTTTAATTACTTCCACTGAAATTAACTGCAAATAGTGCAGAGCATCTGCAAACATCAAAAGCTTAAAATAACCTGATTAATGGTGCACCTCATGTAGCGTGGACTACAATTCCCTGTGTCCCGAACTATGTAATCGCTCGTTGCCGGCTTTCAAGTACAAAGCACATTATCAGACAACCATGAAAAATGTTTGGTGTTTGTAACTGGACAGGAATATATATAATGAAAAAGACAAGGTCATTTACGATTAACTACCGGAGGTGGGTTGGCCTGATTGCCCTGACGAGTATCATGCAAGATGACAGATGAACTTGGGATTGGCCTTGGAATTTGATTGGGATCAATCTTTGACGCCCCTGGCTGTGTACCACCAGTTTGGCCAATAACAGGTGAGATAGCAGTCATTTGATTCTGCATTGGTGGTGGCATTCCATACATTCTAGGTGGTGGCATAGACCCTGGCATTGGAGGTACCCCCTATATTACCCATGATATAATTGTGTCAAGATTCAGAACACATGAATCCATAAATACTTGTGCACCAAAAAGTGAATACAGTATTATGGAAACAGAATTACATGCTAATAAAAAGACAACACTGATCATTTATAATCATGAGGCAATCACACTACTATACTATTGGCATTCCCATTCTATCATTAATACGTCAGGTTCAGAAACATGCTGGTGAATGATATGAAAAAATGTCATTGATAGATGGAGCATTCGTTTCACCAGAAATAATCCAGCTTTCATCTGCTTACCATTTAAGAAGGAAAAAAAAAGGAATAATAACAATTTCACAAACTCTTTACTATTGCCAAACAGTCTGCATCTATAATCAGTAGCTAAATCACAAAAACAAACTTGCAGCAGTGTAGTATAATAACACTATATTTCACAAAAGAATATATGCTTAAATACTCACTGGTTGTGAAGGCATCTGTGGTGCATAAGGAGAAGCTACAGATCCCAACATCGCTTGAGGTGGCCCCCCAAAGGCAGGTGCAGCTTGACCCATTCCTGATGGTGGAAGTACCTGTGAAGCACCAGCTCCAGGACTCCCCATGAAAGGACGCATAGCCCCTGCTTGAGGAGGGCCACGTGCCGGTGGCCCCATAGCTGGAGGAGCACCCATGGGAGGTTGATGCTGAGAACTACCAGGAGGAGCAAACCGTTGTCCAGCCTGGAAAGCGGGTGCAGGTGGCCCATTACTCATAAAACCACTTGGAGTACCAGAAGGCCCCATGTTCACGGGAGATGAAGAAGCAACTGGAGATGGACGAGTACCCGGCAGTGGTGCTCCATAAGGAGGAGATCCAGCAGAGGGAGGCATTGAAGAAGGGAATGCCCCCGGAGGAGGAGGTCTGGCACCAAATGGAGGAGGCTGGCCAAATGGTGGGCCGCTGGGTCTACCAGGGGCCATATTTGGTGGCAATGTGGGTGATGGAGATCCTGAGGCAGGCCTAAGAGTTGCACCGGAAGGGAATGGACCAGGTCTCGTCATTGGTGATGCGGGCGAAGAGGATGAGAATGGTGGTGGCTGACCGAAGGGAGGTGGCCTAGTATTTGAACTGGGCGGGCGATTAAGGTTCATGTTCTGAAAATTGTCAGCTAAGGCATTTGGATTCTGCTGAAAATTCGGCGGTGGTCCAGTAGGCGGTTGTTGTCTAGGTGCCCCTGGAGGCACAGGAGCTGCCATGTTTTCTTACTGATCAATCAATCTAAACTTCACAGATAGAACACCCAGAATTCCCCCTTTCCTGCTACCACCCAACAATCAAATGCGGCTATATCAATTCCTCACTTCCACAATTCCCAAGCGAGCAGAATCGAGTCTTCAAAACCAATATTCCACACATCGGCAGAACAATTCAAAAACCAGAACAAGAAACCGGGGGGGAAACGATCAAAACACCATAGAATTCCAATTCAACTAAAAATTAAAGAAACAGAAACATAACGCAAGCAGAGCAATCGAATTCTGAATTCAACCGAAATGAGCGAAGCTGAAACGAGCAGAGCGTAAGGTTAGGGATGGTACCGGAGGGGAACAAAGGCGAGTGGATCTAGTCGGCCGGAAAGGAGATGAATTGCGTCAATAGATGAGATCAGATGATCTGAAGGGAGTCCGATTAGGGTTTTGCATGGGGAGGAAGGCGAGAGGAGAGGGATGAAATGGGAAGAAACCGGGGGGAAATGTTAGGGTTTTGGAGATCGGAGGGGAGATCAAGTTGGGGATCGGAGTCCGGAGAAATACGCAGAGAGGGAGAGAGAATGAGAGTGAAGAGGGGAAGAGCAAGAGCAGGTGTTTTGATGAGAAACGGGGAAGACTTGGGTAAGAAAGAGCCCAATCAGGAAGAGAGCGGTACATTTTTATTTTTACCTTTTTTATATTTTGTCTCTATTTTTTTTATTCAAATTTTTTTTAATTCTTTCATATTATCTAAATCTATTAAAATGTTATTATTTAATCAAATTTTTCGTAATCCATCAAAATATTAGTTATTTTACGTTATCGTTAATAATTGGGTAATGTCTATTTTTTATCCAAATCTTTTTCAGATTCTTTTATATTATCCAAACCTATTAAAATTCTATTAATTATCCAAATCTTTCATAATGCATCAAAATATTAACAATTTCTACGTTATCGTTAATAATTTTGTAACTTTTTTCTTAGTTAAAATACTGAAATTTTGGAATGTTGACCTTCATGAGTCTCTTCCAAGTCAGTATCATGTTGTCAAGTCAATATTACTAACAAAATTGTTAACTGAAAGTTAACATTTGGCTAATTCTTAGTATTTCGATAGGTTTGAATAATATAAAAGAATCTGAAAAAGGTTTGGATAAAAAATAGACATTACCCTTAATAATTTTGTAACTATTTTTCTTAGTTAAAATACTAAAATTTTGGAAAGTTGACCTTCATGTGTCTCTCTCAGGTCAGTATCATGTTGCCAAGTCAATATTACTAATAAAATTGCTAACTGAAAGTTAACATTTGATTAATTCTTAGTATTTCGATAGGTTTGGCTAATAAAAAAGAATCCGAAAAAGATTTGGCTAATAAATAGTCATTATCCTTTAGATTTTGTATTTAAAATGATACAAAACATTTCTCCGGTATAGGTGATAAAGTGGGTACCTCCTTTCCCATGGTTGGGTGGTGCTAAACTCGAATAGGTCAGTGATGAGGGGCAAGCAACATCAGGAGGAGCTAATAGGGAGGATGACAGTCACCTCCTACATGCTTACTCGATGAACTTGGGTAATGTCTCAATTACAATAGCTGAATTAGCAGGTGTTGTGCATGATCCGCAACTGACTTGGGTAGTATGGTATCGACAAGGGGTTGTTCAGACAGATTCACAAGTTGCTCTCCAGCTGATTCGGAATGCTGAGCAACGACCCCCTCATTTTGTCTTAATCTGCGCGGCCTATCAACTTCTTGGTCAAGAGTGGCACGTTCAACAGGTTTACGTCTTCAGGGAGGGAAATGTGGTTGCAGACTATCTCGCTTCAATAGACCAACCGCTTGGTAACCATATTCTAGCTACACCTGATCCTTTGCCTAATCATTAGATGACTTTGATCTTATTTGAGTTGATATTCACCAATTTATTTATGGTCAACGATTGAAATGCCCTCAAGCACTCCATTTTGTGCAAAAAAAAAAAAAAGTCTTAGGTGGTCAACATTCAACATACCTAAAACTTTGATGGTACGAGGTTCAATTACCCTACAAAACTTTACGCCAATCAACTTTGCCTTCCCCTATCTGTCTTTTCATTTTTGAGTTTTAGGTAGGGGTGGGCAATGGGCGGGTTGGATGAATTTTCATTTTAAATTGACCCACTTATTTACTAGTGAGTTGGAATAATTGTGACCCGTACTCCACCCACATTTTTTTACGGGTTGGGTTGGGTGGGTGACGAATGAGTGCACTTGGATCGTGGGTTAACCCGCAAAAGCAATTATCCAACTAGCCATTAAGAAACTTGACTAACATTTATAATAAGTTCATAGTAAATTAGTAAGACCGTATCAATTTAAACACTTCTCACTTTGTCTCAAGCAAATCCATGTAGTATATGTATAAAAAAATTTACTACTCTATCAACCAATTGTGTAAGGAATTGTGTAGAGTAAACTTACGCATTTTGTAATTTTGATAAAATTAATAATTTAAATTTTTCATCCTAATATTTAATGGATATTAACAATAATTTACATTCCAATATCCAAAATCTAATGGATATTACACAACACAATAACCAATAATAGTAGTCAAACAAACATTTTTTCATGTGAAAATAGAATGCGGGTCATTCGGATGACCCGCAATCCACCCACCACCCACCCCTCATAAGTGCGGGTGGGAGATTTATCAATCCGCAATCCACCCACATCAATCACCCACTGCTTGCGGGTCGTATTATTTGTCGATGGATCGATATCAATTTGCGGATTAACTACCCGCGGCCTTTCGCTTAGTCACTTTTATCAATCAAGGTAGTCGTTTCACGTTTGCCATTCCAGCTTGGCCGCTGAATAGAGGCGGGCAGTGAGAGAAAGCTCCTCAAGGAAGACCACAACCAGCAGTGCAGTTTAAGAAAATCACGAGCATAGAAACAAGACGGCTGTGATTCATCCGTGTTTTGCAAGGATCACAATTTCACAATAGTACAAGGTGCTACCCCCGTCAGCAATAGATTCATAATTGGACATAGTTGAAGGACATCAACAAATGCTTGAAGAATCCTTCACCACTGGAAACAGGAGCTAGGAGAAACAAGGAAAAAGTTACGAAGGTATGTTATTTGATTGAACTTCCTATATACAAAGAAAATGGCAGGGGAGGAAAATGAAACACACCAGACAGAAACCATCATGCAAAACACAAAATTGTGAAAATGATTGGCATATAAAAAGAGCAAAACATTGAAAGTTGAGGAAAATAAAGGTCAAGAGATGGACAATCAAAAAGTGCCTTTTGCTGTTCCAATTCCAAGTAGCTAAGCTATACCAAAGCAAACCCGACCTGAATGAAGCAGTTGCTAACCTAACATCAACACCAGCCTCAGCCAAGATCAGATGAGCTTTACAAGGCAGGACCAACACTTTACGATTCTCCGCAACCTGTTAAGCCTCAAAATAAACAAACAGATCATAACAGCATTACTAGAGAAGAGATAGCCCGGAAATAACCGACATGAAACAGTTTCCATAGCGAATCACATACGAGCAGCTAGCTTTCAGTCACTAGACCAGGAAAATATTCCATCTGCACAAAAGGAGACACAACGCAAAACTGCAGATTCTGCTCTTCTAATGACCAAGTGAATGGCCAGCCAGAAATGAACATTGCAGAGAGGCAGAAAGAGAACCTAATGAAATCAGGATGCAACTCAGAATGGTCAACATGCAATCCCACAGCCACAGGAGGTAAATTACCAGTCGTTCAGCCTGTACACACTATAGACAAACTATTATGATAATCGAAGGTTGCAAATTGAGAGTCCTGAGGAAAGCTGAGGAGAAAGGCGAGAACGAACAAGAAGCCCTTCACATGATTACAGCAGAGGAAAAGGAAGCTTACATAAACTGCAGTAATTAAGTTAACAAGTCCAAGTCTTTATTAGTGATTACCAATCTACGCATCAAGCGATTATCTACAATGTAGAACAGAGACTATGAGCTCTAGACACTAAGATCAATCAGAGACTAGTTATTCAACATCTGGTTCTGTCAAATAAACCCGGGAAAAGAAGACCAGATAACTAATAATATTAACCCAAACACATAAAAAAGAAAGGTTCTGATAAAAAATGCCGATGCTTTTTTGCTCCTGCTTCCCCTACATAGTCATTCAAACACCTCCAGTAGCTAAAAGGAAACTCTTTTTATGCTGCAAACTTACTCCAAATTCATCAACCGATTAGATTACCGACCCACCGAGCGCAGCTCCTCCAACTGTGATCTAATTTGGTCTTGAACCAACTCCAATCGCTTCGAGTATACCTCGAGCTCCAATATCTGCTGCTTCCTCCACTTCTCATCAGCCATCATCTCCACTCCTCCGAAGCTCAATGGAAATGCATTCATGGCCAATCCCCCAATTCCTCTACCCCCAGACGAAGCCCCAGGAGCGGCCATAGCATTGCTCAACAACTCCTTAAACAATGGCGACAAACAACTCTTCACAGTCTCCTCAATCAAACTAGGCACATTCACATTCACATTGCTATGAGCATTACTGCTCACGTCGTTGTTATTGGAAACAACCCCATCGTTAACCACTACACGCTTATCATCCACTTTACCCCCAAGGTTGCCTCCTCCTCCGCCGGCCGTGGCGGCCACAGCGGCAACGATGCTGTTACCACCGCCACCGCAGGCGGTGAGAGTGAGAGGAGCGGCTAGGGAGCGAGATCGGGAGCGTTTTCGCGGCCGAGGCGTGGACTTTTGATCCTCACCACCACCACCACCGGCATCGTTGTTATTGTTGAGATTAGGGTTCCCTTCATCGTCGTCCAAATTCCCATCCTCGACGCTCGCGAGCTTTCCCGTAGTGCTCCAGATCTTCCGCGAGATCTCGAACGTGACCTGATCGTGAGCGGTCTTGAAGGAGAACTCTTTCCCCGAACCGATCTTGTTCAGGACGTTCCGGTACTTCTTCTTCAACCTCCGCAGCTTCTCCACCAGCTGATTCTTGTTGAAATCCAGCTGGAGCTTCGACTTGATCTGGTCGTAGAACAGCGCCGTGTCGTGGTGGCTCCCGCCGCCGCGCTGGTTCGAGTACTCGAGGAAACCTTGCAGCAGCTCGATCTCGTCCTCGTCGGTCCACAACCGCTGGAACAGTTGGCGCGATTTGTCGAGCGGCTGGGGAGTCGGCTTCCGCTGCTCTTCGAACACCGGGACGAGCGTCAGGCGGGGTCGCTTCACCGCGTCGGGGAGGACGGCAGCGGCCGAGGAGTAATCGGAGGGGAGGAGTTTGTGCGGATCGACGGCGCCGTTGGGAGCGGCGGCTAGGGTGACGATGGAGGCGGAAGGGACGGCGATCGGGAGGGAGGAGGCCGCTGCGGAGATGGAGGCGGGGGAAGGGGTGGAAGGGGAAGGGACGGAATTGAGATCTTCCTCGTCCTCTTCGACGACGAGGACGCCATCGTTCTCGAGATCGTCGTCGTCGTCCTGAGACTGGGAGGACTCGTCATCGTCGTCGAGGTCGAACACGGCGTCGTCGTGCTCGGCGGACATGGTGGAGAGGAGAATTTTGTATCCCCGGCGGCAAATCACGAGGAATCGGTGGCGTGATATGGACTTTTTGGTGGAATTTGGGATGGAAG